CTGAGTACAGGTACTATTGAAATCCAAAGACCCTGTGAGAACAAAAAGCAAATGCTATAGAACTGAGAGTGTGTTTGAACTAAATCCTTAACTGAGAGGTTGATTTAGAAACCTTTGGTCCCTTAATAATGTGATTTTCAACTTCGGTATTTCATCATAGGCATTGTTACCCCAGGATTCAAAAATATCCCCAAACTAAGTGTCCCCAGAAAGAAAGACCTAATAGTGAAGTGGAGCACATGCCTGATGCTAGAGTATCATTTTTGTCTGTTAAATATCACAGCACTTCCTTTTCAGTTATTCTTGTTTTGTTATATACAGAGCTAATACATTCTGAGGTCAACAACAGTTATTTACTTTTTTTGACATTTAAAAGAAGATTTAGGGCATCTTCTGTGACATAATATCTTCTATATATGACAGGGAAGTTGTTCCCATGTCATCTCAATAATATGGCTGCCTAAACAAGATCTGAAAATGATTATACCAACTGACAGGGCAATGTGGGTGGGAAGGGATCTCACAAGGCCCCACCCTTAGATGAAGAGTGCCAGACAACTAGTAGCTGCTGGGAGAAGAACTGACCTTTTCCACGGAGGAGCTCCCCCAATAAGTGATAGAACCTAAGTGGTCAGCCTTAAACACATATACATATGAGTGACACGAAATGAACTCAGCAGGTTGTATTTATAAATTTGTGTGTGTGTGTGTGTGTGTGTGTGTGTGTGAGAGAGAGAGAGAGAGAGAGAGAGAGAGAAACAGAGACAGAGAGAGACAGAGACAGAGAGACAGAGACAGAGACAGAGGATAGTAATTAAAGATTCAGAAGCCATGAATTTGAGAAGGAAAGGGGAGGACATGTGCTGGTGGCCATGCCAAAGGAGCAGCAGGTGGCAGCTGACTTCAGAGAATTGGTCCACCAGCATGCAAGGCACTGATGAGTGAATCTTAGATAGGCAAGGCCCAAGGTCTTCGGTCCCAGAATGTCTCTTGTTACTGCTGTGACTTTACGTGTTTGCCCCTGCCATTTTTCTTTAGTATCTGGTATGATGTGAATAGGCATGGGGAGATTCCCTACTGCCTTTAATGTAGTGTGATTATCTCATGGAAATATCCCATTCTACTGGGCATTTTTACCTGTGGATTACTATGAAGATGATTTCCTCCTGTTTAACTAAAGCAACGATTTTATACAATAATAGTGTTAGCTTAAATAGAATTTTGATGACTGAGGGTCTTTAATAAATATAGTAAGGGACTATGATAGAGGTTAATTAACTTAGTGGGAAAACTAATATCGGTAAAAGCAAGATATGATGTTTCTCCCATCCCTGATAAAGCAGGGGCTGCAGAGGATAGAAAATAAGAACAAGGAAATGTCACACAGCTAGTTTCTCTTGAGGAACTGTATAGACTATGGCTTAGGTTAATGATTAAGAAAAACAATTGTGTCCCAGAAGCTAAATTAGCTCAAGTTCTGTTAATCTTAATGTTGAGAGGCATGTTTACAGATTTCAATGTGCATCATAGCTAAAACAAAGCTTTAAATAATTAATTAAGGTTAGGTTAAAATGTTTTTATTAATAGCTCTGAGGCAAAGAATCTTGGAAAACAGCATAAAGGCATTCTCTTAATAGTTGAGCAAGGAGCTCGTTGAGTTCAGGGAGCAGGAACAATGACAGCCTGGCTACTTTTGGCTTATGTACCTTTCTTGCTAGGATGGGTTGGTGATCAAGGGTGATGATTAACTCTTTGTACCCATTTCTGCCCTCAGCTTTCTAATATAAAAAAATAAATAAAAGCTGTTGATGAGTGGGTATGCACCCTGAGGATTTAAAGTGGGGCTGACTGTTTTTCAGATATAAAAGTTTAAATTTGTGATTCTTTTAAGATTTCTTATAAGATTACCTTACAAGATAAATATAAAACGATTGGTCCTTTCTTTGCAACTGCAAAATACAGGCTGCCAGTAAAAGAACTGGCTAAGAAAAACATCTTACTTGCTTACACTTTGTTAATCTATAACAAGTTGCTTGGATAGGAACCTATGTAGATTCTTGGGACAAGTTGTTTTCCACCTGTAATACATAAAATGTTTAATCATGTAAGGGATATGAAAAACTTGTTGTTTTTTACTTGTATTTATTGTAATCATTCACTTAAAAATAGATTGTAACCACATAGTAATTTTAATACTGCTTGAAAGATTTTGCTGGGATATATAAGCTGTAAGGGAAAAAATAAAGTTAGTTAGAAGGAAAACATCAAGAGAGACAAAAGGAAAACATTGGGGTAGAAGGACAGAACAGAAAAGGAATACAGTAGAACAAGCAACAGTGAGAATACTAAAATGAAGAACTAAGCCTTGGCCCTCAGAAAAGTCCTCATGTGTCTGTCTGTCTAGTTGTTTGCCTGCTCTGCATCCCCTTTTCAGTTTCTCTGACTTGATGAAGGCTTGCCATTCATCAGCATCCTAGGTGAGACCCTGACATGCCGGAGATGTGTGTGTATGTGTTTGTGTGTGTGTGTTTCCCTTTTTCGCAGGCCCCAGAGAGTTAAGCTTTACTCCCTCAGCAGAGAAGTTGAGTGACTAGTTCACAGACTCCATGGCTCTTCTCCAGTCCCTGAGCTGCTAGAAGCTGGCCCTCACAGCAGCCATAGACAAGAGAGAAGTTGTAGGGAGGATTAAAAGGGGGTGAAATAATGTAAATACAAACTGTAATATGAAATTGTAATAAATAAATATTTTGTTACTTTTAATTACACGTATATGTCTAGGTTTGGGTCTGTGAATGTGAGTATAGTTACCTGAGGAAGCCAGAGAACGGTGCTGGATCCTTTGGAACTGGAGTTACATGGTGTTGTGAGTTGTCCAACATGGGTGCTAGAAGCTGAACTGGGGTCCTCTGCAAGAACAATGGGGGAGTCATCTCTTCAGCCCCTATTTTATTTATTTTTAAAATCTAATGGTATTTGTTATCTAGCTAGCATTAGCATACAAATCACTTATAATATGCAGCAGGACAGCAATATATATCTTGACACGACATGCTAAAATTGTTTCATTATTATCCGCAGTCTAACTATGCTGGGGGAATGTTTTAATATAAGTAAATATTTTACATATTAATTTGAAATTTCTTTGTTGTTGTTTCATTCAAAGATAAATAAAGTGTATGGTCACTTTTATTTAGCTTTAGTACTATCCTTTTAAGGAGTAAAAGTCACAGAATTAAGTCTGCATGTGAGGTCCATCATGAATACTGCTCTATGGGTTTAATGTAGGCAGCAGAGAGTTTAGTCACTTCCACAAAAGAAAAAACAAAGTCCGTTTTTAACATGAACCTTGTGCATAAATTTATCTCTGGCAGCACAGACTGATAAAACATATAACATAAATAATGAGCCTTTAGGCCTCTCTTTAACAACCATTGACAGGTACACATTTGGCTTCATGGCTACAGGAAAAGCAATGAAAAGTGGGAGCCCGCCCTGAAATCCCTCCAGAAGACCCTCTCGGTCCATCTATTCATCCTACAGTCTCAGTGTGAGCCCACTCATTCCAGCAAGATTCAAGCCTCCCAGTACTCATAGGAGGGTACTCTGCACTTCCTTACCTCTACATTCATTTCTGTCTCAGGCCCCACGTCTATTCTCATCCCTGCTTCTAGGATTTACCCAGCCACATTGCTCTCAATATCGCTCCTTACTATCCTTTTCTCAAGGGCTTCTCATACTGTAACACTGCTTAAAAAGAAAAGTGAATGAGGAAATAAGGAGAAGAGAACTGCGTAACCTTTTCTTCTGTGCCTTCTGACTTGAATAAGTATTTCCTGCCCTCCAATCAGGGGCCGCTATGAAGATAGGATGCCATGGTTGCTATCAACTAAACTGGATTTTACTCCTGGTCTTGAACTTGAAGATTATTCTCTAAGTCTGTTTTCTTGTCTGTAACTAGAGAAAAAAAATCATATGTAGGTTGTTCAAAAATTAAACACAAGGGCCTGCAAAATGGCTTAGCAGACAAAGGCAGCTTGTCCGTCCAGTCAGATGGCCTGAGCTCCATCCTGGGACCCACACAGCGAAAGGAAATCTGAGGAAAACGGTTTTCACTCACACAAACAAATAAATAAAATGGAACAATTTTTAAACAAATGAAAACCTGTGTTTAAAAATTCAGCACAAAGCACACTGTTTTTAAAGCATACCAGAAGGGGCTCCATCAACTATCAGTTGTTCCCCCTAAACCTCTACCTTCCTTAGAAATGACTCTCTAGGTTCTTCCTCTTTTCCTCGGACTTCAGATTAAAATGAACTGGTAGTTCAATCCAGAAAGGTGCTATTCTGTATTCTGACAGCAGCTCCTAGGAGGATGTTTTGCAGGCTCGTGTGCATATTTACTAAGCCTGTTTCACTGATATCAAGTACCAGGCCTGCTTCAAGTGCTCTAGCATAGCACTCTAATTTTAAAGGCAGCAAGCAAGTCCAGGGTAACGAAAAACAAAAACCCGTTAAGGAATACAAAGCCAGGGCTCTCTGTTAAGCAGGGGCATCCAGAAGTGCAGCGTGACACCCAGCTGACCGTGCTCAGTGCTCTGACTTGTAGTCTTGGAGGACACAGAAAAAGTTACTCAAGGAGTCCCAACTTTCCAGGTTGTTCTATGGAGAACTGAGACCTGTAGGAAATCCTGCTGCCTCTTTTCCCCTTGGGGATCTAACGTCATCCAAGCTAAAGAGCAATGGGACGGTTAGGGTGTGGAGTAGGTGGGCTCCTTGCCGGTCTTTCAGAGCAGCTCCTTAGCTGCAAGCCTGAGGCTTGCACTTTAGCAGGCCCTCCAGCTGGTAGGAGCCCAGCCTAGGCCTAAATGCTGGCCTGGCAAAGCGGCAATCTAATGGGTGTGGTCTCCCGGCGGCGTGAGCTCGCTGGGTGTGGCTTTGGGCTGGAATGGGGCGTGACTTAGGGTCAGTGGGCGGGGAAAAGACAAAGTTGGAGGGGGGGCACAACTAAAGGGGAGGGGAAGCGGACCTAGCTCAAGTTCCCAGGGGAGCAAGCGGCGGCGCACGGCAGGAGGAAGGACGCCCCAGAGCTGGTGTAGGAGCCTTGGGCCCGGTAGGAAAGGTGGGGACCAAGGCCTGGAACTCGGGGATCATCTGCAAGGAGACACGTGGAGCCCCAGTGGGCAAAGAAAGCTGCTCCGTGGCCCCGCCACTTTTCTCTGAAGGTCTCCTGAGAGGTTGCAAGGACTAGGGGGCCTGGCTTAAGGAGCCCGGGTCTCGGGGAGCTGGCCCGGGCTCAGAGGGCGCCGATCTTCCCTAAGTTTCTAGTCTCCCAAAGTCTAACTTGTAAGCTGGCGATCCTGGGCGGGTCCTGCGCTTTGCTTGCTCTGCTCAGCTTGACTGCTGAGCCCTGGGGACCTGTTGGGGCCCGCTGTGCGGGGAGGGAGGGGGAAATGGAAGGTGGAGGCGTCTGTTCCTTGCACGAGTTTCTTGAACAAGCTTTGACTTCAGAACCGTCAGCCTGGAGCCCTTACCATCTTGTACATGTATTCTAGCACTTATGCGAGTCTCCTTAGATCTCTTAGAAAAGTTTATACAGCCCTGATATTGAGTGATGGCTATAAAGATGCCTGGGTATAGTGATACCTGCCAGTGAGGACATCTTCAAATCTCCACCACAAAGAGGAGATTGACAAGCGCCCAATTCCTGTCCTTAAATTCCCTTTATTCGTTGCTACAGAGGAGGAACCTCTGGAAGAAGAATCCCAGGACTAAACACCCACTTGGCACAGTCCTTTATAGTTTACATAGACAGAGAGGATGTCCAATAGTTATCCTTGAGGCCCGGTACCATTCTAGAAATAACCAACGCCCTTCAAAGAAAAAGAAATGAGGAAGGAAGAAAAATAAAGAAAGGAAGAAAGAAAGGGAGGGAAGGAGGGAGGGAGAGAGGGAAGGAGGGAGGGAGGGAGGGAAGGAGGGAGGGAGGAAACTACAGTGCACACTGAAAAGAAATTTCTGATCATTTCTGACTGTTGATGGGTCAGATAACAATTTTCAAAAAGATAATTTGAACTCCAGCTTCACCGTGTGTCTTAATGAAATTATGTTTTTCATTTGTGGAGGCTAGATGTTGCTTTAGAATTATCAAAGTCATGAAAACATATGTAGTTTTGGATTAAAAAAACAAATGGATTTTTTTTATTTCTATTCCTAGATTCTGGATGACCAAGTACTTTTTTTTTTTTTTTTTTTTTGACATTTAGTGAAAGTTAGCTGTCAGGGATGGTACCTGAAGTCTACATTCTATTTCATCACACAGCCTTGCCAGGTAGCTTCACAGTACAAATGAGCAAGATGAGGTACAGAATGTTCAAGCCACACTACCGGGAAGTGTTAGGAGGGGGTCTGTTTTTCTGACTCTGAAGTCTATGCTCTCCCCAAGACTGTCTCCACCTTGTCTATTGTAGACTTGTCCCACCTCCAACAGGGACTAAAGTCATGATCCAGAATACAGCATAAGAATCATTTTTGTTGGCCTAGTCTGGGGGCATGTACCTGCACAAGCTACTCAGGAGGCTAAGGTGGGAGGATTTCAAGTCCCAAGCCAGCTTGGGCTATAAGTAAGAACCTGTGTCAAAATAGAAAATTCAAAAGGGACTGGGACTGAATCTCAGTGGCACAGTGCTTGCCTAGCATGCACAAGGCCCTTTGTCCAACCCCCAACAATGAAAAATAAAATCATCCTATTTTAAGAGAGAGAAAGTGGCTGCTGGTATGAACAACTCAGACGTATCATGAATCTGTCTGGTTCCAGCTCTGCAGTCACAGAGCTTTGGAGAAGTTACTTAGCTTTCCTAAGCACATAGAGGTCATTGATCTCTAAGTCTTGGCTCAACCTAATAATCTATGGATTTATGAAAATAAGATACTGCTTTTAGTTAATGATATTTTGGTCACATCTGGTGTTGAAATTACAAGGTGGTCAGGAAGGGTTACTTTATTCAATCAATAAATATGTACTCTGCGCCTGAATAGTCACAGGGACTATAATGAGAGCAGGACAAATAAAGACACCAGATTGTTGAGTTTATATTCTGTTTGGGGGTGGAGGAGCCACCAAGCAAATTAATGTACAGATACAACGTGTAAGTAGGGGGCTGGGATGGATAATGATGCAGAGGGTGCACTTAGGATTTGGTGATGGAGATGCCTCACCAATTTAGATTCTGATGTAAGAAGATAACAAGGACTTAAAGATGTCCCTCTTACTGGGACCTACAAGAGCAGGGGAGGCATGAAAGAATTTGATATATTCTAGGGACTTCAGGAAGGTTTCAGTGTCTGGTTCAAGATGAAGTTGGAGATCTGGGTGGGAGTAGGTTATGTTGGGATTTGTGCCATTTGGAAAGGACTGTGACTTTCCATGTACTAACTACAGGGAACAGGGGACTAACACCAAGGTGGGTCTGATGAAACCCAAACACAAGCTGAGGACAGGTCTGGTGATGTCAGTGGCTGTGGGGGCAGAGAAAGCAAAGTTGTCAATGTCACATAATCAGTACATCTTCCTGATGTTCGCTATAACCCTCCAGTGCCCTCATTTTGCTTAGCATTCGTTGTCTTCATACTCACTTTCTCCCTCCCCCCCCCCCCGCATATTGCTAATTCCCATACAGCACACTATATTTATAACTCTGTTATTTATTCCCTCTTTTGAGAATGTCTTGTACTTGAGGACTGAAGTGTGTCTGAGAGAGACAGGATCTCCCTATGTTGCCCCTGATGGTTTGGTGCTGTGGATGTCTTTCTGTATGGTGTGAATATGTGTTGTTCTGATTGGTTGATAAATAAAGCCGTTTGGTCTATGGCAAGGCAACTTAGAGACAGGTGGTAAATTAAACAGATAGATGAGAAGAGAAAGGAGAGCAGAGGAGATGCCAGGCAGACAGCTGTCTCTGTCATTCTAGATTTTTGGAAGTTCCTTACAATGCTCTTCCTGCTTACTTAGATAATATTGTATCCTTCTGAGGTCTTTGATGTAGTTGAAAACTAGATAGTTATAATTATAATTTTCCTTGGTTGTGATAAAAGATAAGTTAGATATGAAACCTTAGACTCACAAATATAGGATAGATAAAATATTTTCTTTAATTTTGCCAAATACAAATAGACTAGATATTGTAACTGTAATTCTTACTTGATAACTGTTGTTAAAATATTAACATTTTACTATGTTAAAGATAAAACTTTCCTTTGTAATTAAACAAAAAAGGCGAAATGCTATGGGATAATGATTTTGTACATTGGTTTAATAAAAAGCTGATTGGCCAGTAGCCAGGCAGGAAGTATAGGTAGGATAAAGCAGACGAGGAGAATTCTGGGAAGATAAAGGCTGTCAGGAGATGCCAGCTTGTCATCTAGGGAGCAACATGTAATGATACACAGGTAAAGCCACAAAACACATGGCAATATATAGATGAACAGAAATGGGCTGAGTTTGAGTATAAAAGCTAGTCAATTGTAAGCCTGAGCTAATGGCTGAGCAGTTTTAATTAATATAAGGCTCTGTGTATTTACTTGGGTCTGAGTAGCAGTGGGACTGTGGGGCTGTGGGAGCCAGGTGGGACCAAATAAACTTTAGCTAAAATTTGGTACTTTAGTATGTAGCCCAAACTGGCCTCAAGCTTGAGTCTCCTTCCTGTGTTTTCTATGAGTTGGGATTTCAGGTATGTGCCACCACAGCCAGCCAAGGACTGGGTCTTTTGCCTGTTGCCTCTACTGCTGTTTCCCCATGGCCAATGCTGTGCTGCATGCATATTAGATTCTTACGGATTTCTTGAATGAGTGGAATGAGTGTGTTTGTTGAGTACTTTAGATCCTGATTCCATTGAATTTGCTATTGAATGTGGTAGTGAAAGAAAGGGGGAACAATCAAAGATGAGTCTCAGTTTGCCAGCTTGAAGACTGAGTAGATGTCAGGGTAATAATGACTAGAAAAGCAGTACCCGTTGGGGGAAAGACAGAAGAGAAGTTCTACGTGGTACTATGTGGGTTTCATCTTCTCTTGTCTCTTTGTCCAAATCCCTGACAAGGAGCCATTTAAAGGAGGATACCTTTTGTTGTTTTGGCTCACAGTTTGAGGGTGCAGTCAACCACGACAGAGAAGGCATGGGGATAGGAATATGGGATAACTGGTGATGTTATGGTCACCAGCAGGAAGTAGAAAGATGAATACTGGTGGTGCTCAGCTGGCTCTCCCCTTTCTTCGTTTTAGCCAGTCCTGCATCCTAGCCCATGAGATGCTGCTGCCCATACTTAAGGCAGACTTTCCCATCAGTTACTGCCCTCTGGAAACACCCTCCCAGAGCAAGATTAAGATGAAAAAGATTAATTGAGCTCCATGTTACCCTCTGAGAATTACTTGATTTTATGGTTGCTGTGATGAGATACCCTTGAAAAAACTCAAGGGCAGCTGAGTGTCTTCTGGCTCTTAGGAGACTTTCTACCATGGTGAGGCAGTCATGGCAGCAGGAACTGAGCTTGAGGTTGCTGGTCACATTGCAACTACAGTCAGGAAGCAAAAAATGGTGAATGCCGGTGCTCAGCCAGCTTTCTCCTTATTCAGCCAGCATCCCAACAAGGGTCATGGTAACACTTGTAGGGTGACTCACCCCACCTCAGTTAACCTCATCAAAATAATCCCATACAGGCATGGCCAACAACCAGTTGACTCAAGATAATTCCTCACAAGCGTGCCCGGAGCCTTGTCTTCTAAGCAATTCTAGATTCTTGTCAAGTTGACAATCACACGAACCATCACATAGTGTAGACTATGAAGTGATCTACAAATACACTCTCCTTGCCTTTAGTCTCAGAGATTGGGGAGTTTGCTAGTGTGTTAGTGCGCCCTCACCTAGTCTGCATTACAGACTCCAGGAGGTCTGAGCACCGTGCATCCGGAATTTCTGTATCCAATTCACCAGATACCCCGAGAGCCTGGAAGGTGCTACACAGGGCTTTTATTGTGACTAATGTCCATTTCACTGTTGGGAGGATGGCAGGCCCACTGTTTCCCACGGTGCCCTAGTCAGCTCCGTGATATTAAACAAAGGTGGAAAG